TTACCTAACATGCAGCATGAACCGTAGATGTCAGTCCTCCAACTCTCCTTGAATCTGAGATAGCTCTATCGAACCTGAAATGATGCAAAGCGGGATTACCTGATAGCTTCTCACCAGAAGTGTCCAGGGATGGTTGTGAGAAATCGCTAGTTAAAGTGACGGAAATACTAGGCAGTGTATAAGCGGAACTCAACCACCATGGGCACATTCGTGCAGTGGGCAATGACATACACCTATTGTTTGGGCTCTTGATAATACCTGCCCTGCCAAACCTCGTTAGGTAGAGCGCTGTTCGAACTCGTGGCCCAATGGTTGATAACCATCTCTCGAGAACACAACCGCAGCTCTATTGGTGGTGTATGGGGATCAGACGTTTTGAATTAGTTTGACTAATAATATCAAAGATCCTAGGGTTCATAGTTATTCGACGTTTAACTGGAGTTCGAAAACAGCAAATTCTAGAAAACCAGGTGGGTTTCAGACCTGGACAGGATGCACTGATCATATTTTTGCTCTCCGATAGGTTCTGGAACACAGGCATATCTAGCGGCGGTGGATACTTGCCATATTTATCGACGTGAAAGTGGCATTTGACTTTGTCGACCGTAAAATGTTTTGGCAGTGTCTGACTGAAGGAAGTATCCAGCATGTGAGTGATGCTAATCGAAGCTCTCTACTGGAAATCACGCAGCCGTGTAAGGGCGTAGGAAGAGTTGCCATGTGAATTGATGACAACTAGTGGTGTCTGTTAGCGATACCCACTGTCGCCGTTGCTATTGACGTACTGATGGACATAACCTTAGGTACATTTGAATTCACAGGGGATAACCTACTCCCTAGATCCCATCTGGTCGACTTAGAATATGCAGATGATATTATCCTACTAGGTGAAAATGGTGGCAAAATACAGGGTCTTGTGAACTTGTTGAGCAGAGATCTGAGTATGTTTGGGATGCCTTTCGCTGACACCTGGGAAGTATAAGATGGTGCTGCATGACTGATCTGCTGCTAGTACTCTCAGTTGATTGATGGGGGAGTAGTAGGATGTGTCGACTATTTCATATACTTAGGGAGTTGGATCAAATCGAACGGGCTGGTTGCTGACAAAATATCAACTAGGATACAGAATACTCGTGTGGCACTTGCCAACTTGCATCATCTGTGGCGCATGCTGGCGAGATATCTGACTACCCATCAAAGGACACAAATACTGCACTGCAGTTCGTTCTGTCTTGTTATTCGGCTATGAGACAAGGCCGTTGAGAGTAAAAATGAAGAGACTACAGGTTTTTTCTTTACCATGGGTGTCTTCGTAGCATTATTCGCTTTTGGTGGAATCTCTATGTTAGTAATGTCGAGGTTAGGCGAAAAGTACAAGGTAATGAAGGCAATTTGGTTGATAAAGTTGCGAAGTTTAGTTGACAGAGGTGGCATGAACATGTGTTGCGTGTACCAAACCATTGCCTGCTTTGACTTACAATATTGGAAGTTTTATTAGGTTGGGGTTCACCAGACCAAAACATGGCACCACTCCATTAAGTCTGACTGTTGGTTTGAACCGTAGAGGGTTGTGTAGACTACTCGCCTTGGGTCCCTGAGACGATATGAATCAGTGGTCGGGGAATCGTGGTGAAATGGCTAAAAGTTGTTCACTGTAGCGCGAATGTATTCACTCCTTGACATCTAAAGCCTAAATATTTACACTGACTATTATCTCCAAGTTGTTTATTCTCTCATACAACTTTGTCTACTTTTATACCACTCTCTTTCTATACCCTCGTTTTCTGTTTACTACCGTAAAGTATGGCAATTTGAACCGATACACTTGTGTGCAAGATTCTATGTTGTTTTTGGCAGTCTATCTTGCATGAATCTGATCCGCGTTAATTTGTTCCTAAGTCAAGAGTTGGTCGCGTCGTTTTTGTTTGTTTCTTGTTTCATCTAGAGTGGCAAAAGTAACGAATGAGTTGGAAAGCTTCGATCAGTCAAGTACAAAGCTCCAGTACTTGGTTTGTAAGATATAACTTGGATACCTGTCGTCTTGTAAGGCTTGCTGGTCACGTTCCGTTTTGTGGTTCTGTTAAATGAAGTTTAAATGACACCAACCACTTCGTTGTTACTTGCTGTTGGGGGTGATATCCTCATTATCTGTTGCATCTCTTTTTCAAATGTTCATGTCCAGACAAAAATAGTTCCATTTGATAGCCTGTGTTTCGGTTGACTAAGATGTTTTTTCAAAGGCAATGTTCATAGTCTGTAAAAGCATTGAGATAGTGTTTTCGCAGGGTAACTTTGCAGTACATCGTGTCTGCCAACAAAACAACTATGTGTAACCTATTGGTCGTAAATTAGATGTCAGTCTCAAACGATATATGTTATTCAGCAGAATCGAAAGTTCATATGCATTAACCTTGTACACATTTGTGGAGTAGGCATTAATCCACACCCATTGTGAAGGTTAATGATACTACCTGGCTTCACAGAATTTGGTTGGTGAATCGGGGTTCGAACCCACTAGTCGAAAGTCATTTCCCTAGACCAATGAACCACTGCTCCGATGTTTCAGTAAATATATTCCTGGCACTTGATGATGGGACCAGATTAATATGATCAAGGGTGCATTCGCATTTCGTTTAATTTGTTGTTTCCCCCTACTTATATTATTTCATCAGTTTTCTATTTCCATGCTGCCAAGAACCGTGACAACTGAAACCGACAGGTTTTTCTCTGGTGTTAATGTCATTCTGTGCATGTTGGAAATCAGTTACCGAATTTGCGAACATGCATGAACGCAAATGAATATAGTGTCCTGCTCGTACTCAGCCGGCGTTTATTAAAAAGTGAGATTCCTGATCTGGCAGGTCCACTAGATAAGCATGATGCTGCCCAGGGATGTTAGTTACGTTAGAGCTTGCATTCGTCAGTGTAGAATTCAGAAAATACTTATAATGCCTTAGGCTCTGTCGTTCGTTATATTTGCCCGTCCAGCAATGCTAAAACTAAATGTAGAGTCACAGTTCAGCTAAGTACAGCACTTTTTAAGATGGTGCACCGTAAACGATTGAAGTTTGGTTTATTACAGTAAGTACTGAACAAGTAGGTGTAAGAACAAGGACTTCTTTTGACTGCTACAGGGTAGCTTGTTAACATAACCGGAAGTGACCACTTTCTGGTGAACTTCTTGTATGAGAGTAGTGTTGAAAATAGCAGCCTTGGAGTAGTGAAATTTGTCGGCAATGGAGACTTACGAAAGGCTATGCGTTTCGTTTTCGTATCGCTTCCAAAATTTAAATATATTGGCCGTAAGTTCATCGATGTATGCCCTACTTTTATTTATTCTCGTACAGTGCATAGGGATTTTGATTTGCATGGTTTCATGTTTTATGTCTTAAATTGGACATGAGCATAACTGATGTGCAACGCAGTATCAAACTGAACTAAAATATTTCTACATTTGCTAATCATTTCTAGCCGTGTATCCACATCGACTTGTTCCATTTGAACTATTTTTAACCAACTTGCTACACTCAACTGGTGTTCGTATTGTTATGTGTTGAACCTTAAAAAATAAGTGGTTAATAAGATATTCTGAAGCCCGAAGATGATTAGGAGTGCTTACATTGGCACTATTTGACTGATTTTAAGTCATATCACCAAGAGTTTCGAACCAATAATTTCACACATCTAAAGGAATCTAGTCAGGTAGACTACGGATTTATATGTGGTTGCGAACAAATGTCAGGAACTTCATAGTTTAGTAAGGCTAACTAATAGTACTACTTGGCTGCTCAAACCTTGGGAAATGGAGCCGAGTTCTAACTTAACCCACTAATTAAAAGCCATTTCTCTTAAATAATAAGCCACAGTTTCTAGGACAAGTGTAGAGATATGTGAAGCTGTATATCATGGTTATTTTGCCATTTGGTTTAAAATGGATAAAATTAAACTTCTTTTTACCCCTCAGTATGCTATGTTGCTTAGAGAACTATTCGTCATCTCAGTTAAGAATCACAACTACTTTGTCAAATGAAGCTTCTTTCTCTAGGTTGTGAACTTTCTTTAGGCATATAGCTATCCATGTTGTTTCCATTGAAAATGAAGAACGTATAAAGGTTATATGTATTTAATCACCAGCACACAACTAATGCATTGAAATTGTTGAGTGGGAAATTTGGACGTTAGCTGTGAAGCACTAGCTAAGGGATATGAACTGATGAATGGTGTTTTAGATACTCATCGAATGGAATGGTTAAAAAAAATGTGACCAGTGGTTATTCACTTCATAGAATGAAAGGATCGTGGAGGTGATCAGACAAGTATATGACCATAGTTACAGAAGTTTATGGTTCTTTTGAGAAGTATAGCCTTTATGGTTCTGATCAATGAGATCAGCGGAAATAGTACTTAAGGCTCTAATGCCGATGATGATTGCCGGCAGTGATGAAGACGCGTTAACTTCTTCCAGAGGATCTCGAGCATCCAATCGTTGCATACCTTTCATTCTCCATTTACTTGTTTCACATCATGTTTTCTTTTTGGTTTTACACTGCTCTTAAGGTTATTACTTCAATTTCTTTGTTTCTGTTCATCTGTTACTATACTGGTATGTAGCTGGTTATATTATTGAACAGTTTTGCGTTGCGTTGTTTGTGTTGTGTGAGGGGAAATTTATTTACTTGCTTTCACACCAAACCAGATTTCCGGATGTCTGATGTCGGAAGTCATCTCCACATTTTGCCAATCGTAAATGATTTGAATGTCTCAAAAACTGCTTATCTAAGATGATGATGCTTATCTAAGAGCGTCTATCTCGTGGGATGTGACAAAATAAGATAATAGTAATAGTGTATATCGTCGTTTTTTAGTGTTCTGTTTTGTAACATATCTTTTATATTCCTTTTACAGAAACTATAAAGTTTTTAACTTCATATTTCTGATTAATCCAACTAGAGTTTCTCAGCCTAGAAAGACATTTTACTTTACGGATTGGTTCTTTGAAAATGGAAACAGTACGTTTAAAAATATTGTGAAGATACATTTCCCCAAATTGTAGTATGATGTTAAGCCAAACCAATGTCATGTCGGAATTTTGTTTTGCAGTGAATGCAACAATATGTTATATCCAAAGGAGGATAAACGTACAAAAACTTTGTATTATTCTTGTCGTAACTGTGATTATTCTCAAGAGGCAGATAATCCTTGTGTTTATATTAACAAACTTGAACAAGAAGTCGAGTAAGTATCAAAATCTTTTTTCACCTACTTTGTTTAATACAAACTCGGTACTCTAAGGGGAAAACTTGGGCAATGTGGTAGAGTATAATTCCGTATTAGGTTGTTTATTTGATGTAGCACACAGGGATACAGTATAATTTACTTGGTGACGTCTCGAGCAGAATTCATTGTTCATATTCATATCAAATTAATCATACGACTCCTGGACGATAGCTGCTACCTTGACGTAGTGGTCGGGCTTGCATATCACAATGACTCAACGAGCTATACTGGTGGAACACTTGTCCCCTAGAGGTCCTACCATACTAGAAAGGTCTGTTGGATAGTGGAAGGACGAAAAGCAGTTACCGTCGTGGTGTAAATTGCAGATGACATAGTCCTGTTAGGTGAAGACGCTGACAAGATGCAGAGTCTTCTGAACACTTTGAGTGGGAATTTGAGAATATTTGGGATGCGATTTTCACCACCCAAATGCAAATTTTTGCTCCAGGACTGGTCTTCAGCGGTACCGCGGTTAACAATAGAGAGTGAAGTGTTGAGTGTGTTGACCACTTCACTTACCTGGGAAGTAGGATCAACTCCGGTGGGTTAGTTGCTGATGAGATTTCTGCACGGATACAAAAGGCTCGATTGGCTTTTGCCAATTTGCGCCACCTATGGCGCCGCCGTGATATTCGTTTGTCTATTAAGGGTCGCGTGTACTGCACAGCAGTCCGGTCTGTTCTACTGTATGGCTGTGAAACATGGCCATTGAAAGTGGAGGATACAAAAAGGCTTCAGGTGTTTGACCACCGTTGCCTTCGTAGTATAGGCCGTATTCCGTGGTGTCACCACGTGAGTAATGCAGAAGTTAGGTGTAGAGTTTTGGGGAGAAGAGGTAAGTCAGTCGACGAGGTTGTGAACCTTCATCGACTGAGATGGTTGGGACACGTGCTACGTATGCCCAGTCACCGATTGCCTCGTCACACAATGTTGGCTGAGGTGGGTCTAGGCTGGAAAAAGGCCCGAGGTGGCCAGACTAAAACATGGCACCAATGTATGAAGTCTCTGACTGTTGGTTTAAGCCATGTAGGACGATGCAGACTAGATGGTTGGGGTCCACGGGACAAGAGGAATCAGTGGTTGGAGACCCTAGGTGACATGGCTCAGAACTGAAGTCAGTGGCGCAGATGTATACACACATTATCCTCATCTTAACGAGGCTATACCGAATCTCACCATTTTGTCACTCCTCTTTCCTTTCTTCTCGTACTTTATATTTCTTTAGACTGCATTCACTTATCTTCATCCTTCACCTCACTACCTTTTTACTTGATGTGCTGATATGAGGTGTGGCAACTCGGACCGTTACGCAGTAATGCCTGGTCCTATGTTGATAATGATGATGATGATGATGATGTAAATTGCAACATTATGATGGGGACCTGAGGGCGAAGTCGTACTGCTGCTAGCTGGATGGGGTGCGATAGCAGTAAGGGGTTTCTCTTGCTGTCTGGATCTGGGTGTGGTTGTCATGACGATCAATCATGAAGCATCCGATCTCCACGATCGCCACATCTAGTTTATTAATTTTTGCAGTTCGGTTATCATAAAAACAAAAGAGAATATAACAACAAAGTTGAACAAATCTCAGATTACGAGCAACCATGTGAATTCATTCCCACTTAACCCAGACAACTATATGACGAATTTATCACCCGTTCAGTTATCTGTTCTTGATAAAGAGGCGCTCTCTCGTGGGTGTTCAGTTTTTCTGTCCCTCAAGTACAAAACTCTGATTTAACGACCGAGGTTCAATTCAAAAACATGTATGACCAACTAAACTCATTTGTCCCAACTTCTTCGGACAATCAGAACTGGCTAAGAGCTAAATTAGTAGACATCGCTCATGGGTTTCATGATCCTGGTCCAAGGCAGAAAAGCATCTCAATGTGTGAGCACTTCGAAGTGCTGAAAGGATTACGGAATAACTCTGATATTGTCGTACTAAAATCCGATAAAGGATCAGGTGTGGTCGTTATGAAAGCGTCTGACTATAAAAGTAAGGTGTTATCTATTCTCAGTGATGGAAGCAAATTTACGTCAGATGTCCCCTCTGAAGGAATAAGTAAATTCGAGGGCAGAATAAATTCCAAACTTGTGAAAATGCTCGGCATGAATTTAATCAATAAAGACGAATTTAACCGTCTGAAACCTATGGGATCTGAACATCCACATCTATATGAGTTACCTTAAACTGATAAACCTGACAACCCACTGCGTCCAATATTGCTTATATGTCGATCACCCACACATAATCTAGCTAAATAGTTGGCAAAGCTCTTGAGTACTGTCAGAAGCCATTTATGTAAGTCCTCATTAAAAGATACATTTGAGCTTATTGACTGTTTAAATGATATTAATATCAAGGATAAGACTATGTACTCGTTCGATGTAAATTCTTTGTTTACTAATGTGTACCTCTGGTAAGAACAATTGATATTTTATGTGACTATATTTCTTTTAACAGTCTTATATTCCCTATGCCTATTAATTTTTTGAAAGATTTATCATTATTATTATTATGTACTGATAAAGTTGAATTCACATTCGAGGGTGAACACTTTCAACAGATTGATGGCGTCGCGATGGGTAGTCCATTAGGGCCGTTGCTAGCTGATGTATACATGTCATATATTGAAAATATGGCTGACGATCTCATCGGAAGGGTTTCACTTTATAAGAGATATATCGATGATATAGTCATTATATGTGAAAAGCCTGATGATGGGATGTGCCTGCTATAGAAAATGAACACGGCTCAAAATCACATTAACCTGATTTGTGAACAAAAGATGAACAACCAGCTACCGTTCCTAGACATATTGCTCAGTCGACGGGTGAATGGCTCGATCCAGAGGTCGATCTATAGGAAACCTACATGGACAGGGCAATATCTTAATTTCCATAGTTATTGCTCAGTCCCATATATACTTGGTTTAGTTAGATGCTTATTCAACAGGATAAACCGCATCTGCACCGATGATACCAGGGAGGAAGAAACCAACTTACTGACGACAACACTGACACAGAATGGCTACCTGCTGAGATTTATCGACAGGTGTAAAAGTTATGTACCACTGAAAAGTACAAAGTGTCCCGTTGCTAAGACAAATATCTACATCTCATTACCATATAGAGGTGATTCACTTAGCTTTGTTGTGAGGACAAGACTTAGATCGGCCATCTGTAAAACATATTATGCAGCCAAGGTCATCATTGTAGAGAAGACAAAGTCCATGTTACAGCACAAACCAAAACAACATATAAACGATTACATCACATCCCACTGTGTTTATCAATTTACATGTATGTGTGGACACACATATATAGGGAGGAGTAATCGTGATATGCAGTTAAGGAAGGTTGAACATATACCTAAGTGTCTACAAAAACAAACGACCTCAACAGATCCGATAAGTGCAGGTGACAAACATCCATCTTCGTCTATCACTAAACATATATTAGAAACTAACTATAGGATAGACATGAAAACAGCCTTTAAAGTACTACATAGAAGTGGTCAGAGCCGAGTGCTTAAATTTATTGAAGCTCTTGCCATCCGTAAATTTAAACCCCCTTTATGTATACAAAAACAATTTGTACTCACATTGAACCTACCTTGATAGTATTGATTTTTATTTTCATACAAAGAGTAACGTGAATAACATTTTTTCTTTATCTTTCGCATCCTATTTCTGTTTCCTACTCTCTTCATTGACCCTTTGCGTAAATTTTGACGTATATATTTGGACGAATCCTTGTGTGATGGGACTGTTCAAAACGTATGGTGTTAATACATCATATGTTTCAGGTAGTCTTCGTTTTCTGATTACGCTGTTTAAATTTATGATAGCGATCTGTTAATAGTGATATTAGGGCTTGAAAATGTTTCTTATGATTTATGACGTTTTCTCTGCATTATTTTTCACTGCGCTATAGTGAATTGTCGTTAATCGTCCCTGATGTTGTTCACGATCCAACATTGCCTCGAACTGAAGATCATATATGTCGTCGATGTGGTAAACAAGAGGCTGTATTTTTTCAGTCTCAAACACTAAAAGCTGAGGAGAATATGCGTTTATATTACGTTTGTACAAATGTTGAATGTTTACATAAATGGACTGAATGAGTATTGTGGTTTTCATGTATCGGAAGGTATTGCAGAAATAAATGATTTATGTAAATACTAAAATGACTTCATTGTAATATCGACTTAAGGCGGCGACTCATGGATCTTTATGCTTTACCTAATTTTATGTTTGTTTTGAATATACGTGCTACTCGGTATGGCTTAAATAGTGTTAACTCTTTTCCACGCTAGGAAAACATGTATGGTTTTACAGAACACCTATATTATATCTGTCATACTGCTTCAGTGTAGATTGTGCGGACTATTAGCTTATTGGTGTTAAAAGAGTTGACTTTCAACCAGTGGTTCACGTTTTCAAACAATAATCCACTGACCGGAGTTTTGCCAGCCAGGTAGTAGTATCACACGATAGGCTGTGTCTTCTGCACGAATGTACACAAGATTGCTGAGTGGATTTCTATTTTAAGTATAGACTGTCACTGAATCAGTCACAAACACATGACTATTATTTCTGATGGTGATTTTTCTTCTGTGAAACAATACAGTACAAAAACACACCAGAAATGTCTAGTCCTTGTTTCATGAACTGTTGTATACATCACAGGAGGTGAATATGGATTCATGTTCTCACAGATGGCGGTTCGAACGGATGGAAGTTATCTGGGAGACTGGATGCATATCCATCGATTAGTTTTTAATTTATATGTTTTGTGCAGTGGCCAACAACGCCACTTGGCATTCCAAGCTTCAGTAGGTTGAATTCAGTTGGGATCTGAGATCGTCTGTTAAAAGCCGAACGCCTGAAAGAAAACGCGTAGAGAAGGAAACCGAGTTTTAGAATATCGTTCCAAGCATTGCGGTACATTTCAATGTGTCCTTGATTTTTCTGCAAATCAACACTTGAATGGTATGTTTATTATCCATCTGATAATATCATTGAATCTCTTCAAGGAACCAGTACTGTAAGAGAATGCAATCAGTTCAATCCAGTAATCACATACAATCGACATTTCAATAGGATGACCGTATTCAGAGTTGAATGATCAGATCCTGATGCAAGAAGTGAATATTCATGTATACAAAACCTTTCTCAAACTATCAAATTTCCGCTACATTTCGTGTATGTAATGTCGATCAATTTATTCGAAAATAGTAATAACTATATTTCTGAATCCATATAATCTAGTCTAAACCACTACTTGTAAATCACTGACTAATATTTTCGTCTTGTGGGGCAGGTGAATTATCAAGTGACCGTGTGAGTTGCTGACAGCATTTGTGGATTTAGAATACATTGTGTGATTACTGAGCGAGCATTCGAAACTGATACATAACACAGTGAATGTTTTGTCTTCATCGCGACTGTCAGGAACGTTTGGTCGGTCAAACTCTATCTCATATCTCGGTGAAAAAACAACATCAGTTTCTTTTTCAGGAAAGAATTAAATATGTGGTTCTCCATTGTTTACGCATCAGCCCAATGTTGAATTGAGAGTGATGAACGATGATCGTTTCGTCATAGTAGATGATGTTCGCATTCTACAAGGCGCCAAACAGGAAGACCGTGAATTGCGAACAAAATGATGAACAACTACTGTTCACACAGATGTAGACGTGCAACTAACGGCGAGTTTGGATTGGCGAAAGAAGCTGTTCGGGTGCAGGTCTATATCTATTAATCGCGACAATTCGTGGCGTCAGACTGTCTGGGATCAACAACTGAGGCTGTGTGCACCTTACTCTACACAGGCTGACGACGGAAGCAATACATGTAAAATCTCACTGGACCAATCAGTTGGAAGACCGAGTCAAGAAGCCTCGAAGCAATCTCCGACATTACCGACTACACTCGCTTCTGGTAGGATAAGAGTTAATCTGAACGGTTTCGAAGGCGTTACATATAGTCGACCATATGTACATATATGCATTGATAAGTAGTATGAGTCTGATCATTGAAATAGGCTGTTCAGATTAAAAATAGAATATTTTCGGTAGATTCTATTGAACCATCACCGATCGATCGAAACATGTTGGCAGATTATTATGTATGCTACTCAAACAATGATTTGTTGAGCTGTCAGCTGATGCTAATTCTGGTGCTGACGCTGAAGCCTGCAGTTAAACCTTCACAATTCATTGTGGATACAGGCGTCAACTATATATTTGTGGTGCGGCGAAATAGAATCTGAATGCAGTCAACAACCTTGCGTACATTCATGCAATCGTCAAAGAGCCGTACATACTATATAAAGGCTAGTGATGCTTTCTTGCTGCACAAAACTCGGTGGGTAGGTCAACGCTGGAATCCGTAACTCGTTGATCATGAGTCATCTCCATAAATCAATGACGGACTGGTGAAAAGAGGTAACCACGTATTTTTGCCAATAATAGCATTTTAATTTTCGAGACAATTTAATCGAAATCCATTGGAATTCATTCTTCAACGTCTTATTATAACCACATTTACAAGCCGTTGAAATATCCTTGAGATTATGCTTGAATACTGTTTCATTGAAATGTAATGGTCAATTAATTGACTGTAAACTATGTTCGTCAGTTTGTTTCTGAAAATGTATATTTGTAATTCGGTAATTGTTGTGGATGCATTATGCCCTCCTACAAATGTATATCCTGAAAATCTGTGTGGCTTGAATTACCCCTCTACCAACTACCAATACAACCGATAGGGTTCCTGCATTCCATTTTAGTCTGTTTATTAGAAATATCACACAGCGAAACCGTAGCATTTGTTGGGTAACGTTTCGGACACGGTTTATTGTCCATATTCATATCAGGTAACTCCACAACTTTGAGGCAGACTTTATATATTCCTAATTTTCTCTTCTTCTCTGTGATGGCAAGAGTAATAGAATTTTCTGTATGTCTGGAACAGGTACAGAATCGTTTTTATTACTGTGTGTATTCCGTGTTGATTCGATAAACAGATATTCGGTTATTAATCTCTCCCTCCAACCAACTTAGTTAGTTTTCAACACTGTCGCTCTATCCCACCGCACTGTGATTGTGTGTCATCGTATGCAGAGCTATAGCCGAGCTTTTCTCTAGATTTCTTATTCTATTAGGACCAACTAATCTTGATTTAACCAAGTTTTTGTTCTCTGTTATTCTAATCGACACTGTTCGACTTCTTTGATCTGATCTGGCAGTCATTGCAATGGATTTGGTAAACCAGATTATTTTGCTTAATTGCATCGATAGGATCTTTTAACCTACAAAGCTTGTTTCTAGGCGAGTTTGTTGCTTTAACTACTACTTTAATCACACCCAGCCTTATTGAGAATTCTTCGTAATGCTTGTCAGTTGCCTTCCTTGAATTGTAACATATCAGATGCTTTGAATTCTCTCCTAGCCCTGTCACCATTATTACCATTAGTAGTGGAATTATTATTAGTAACACCTGTATTACTATTACTACTACCACTGCTAATATTTTTCTTTCGATTTCTTATGAATTTATTTATAGATCTAGGTGGGTGATTATTGAGACGTAGGGTATTCTTGATGTGTCTAATTTCTTGTCGCAGATTTTCCGACCTAGTAGACTTTTGCGCTCTGTCACTTAGGCATTTAACTAGGTCTACTTTAACTGAAATGAGGTGGGAGAATTCGAAGTCTAAGTAGCGATTCGAATGGGTAGGCTTCCTATAGACACTAGTCTCTACATTTCCTTCTTGTGTTCGTTAAATCTTTCAATCCAACATTGCTAGCTCACCTTCACTTTCTAAGTCACAGGTAAATTGGATTGTATTCACTACTGAATTTATATGTGCCAAGGACCTATTGATGTGTTCCGATTTCATTAATATAAATGTGTCATCTACACATCGGAACCATATCTCTGGAGTTGGACTAAATGTTTGAAGGGCCATCTACTCCCAACTATTCATAAATATGTCTGCGACGATAGGAGATATTGGTGATCCCACGGCAACACCTTCAGTTTGTTTATATATTTTATTTTGAAACTTAAAAACTGTAGATGTTAGGCACAATCGTACTCCTAGTATGATTTCCTCGATCGGCACCTTAGTTCGATGCGTAAGTTCTTTGTCAGCTGTAAGCCCATTTCTAACTGCCTCTATGCCATGTCGATTGGGATATCTGTGTAAAGGCTAGTTATGTCAAAACTGACCATTTTTCCACTGTCGTCTAATCTGTGCTTTAAGTCATAAGAGTTGGTAAGTCGAGACTTTGAGTGATTTCTTATTGGGCCTAATACCATTGCTAAATATTTAGACAACTCAGAGTGTTTCTAAAATCTGCACCTATCCCAGATATGTGGAGAATTCTACTACCCTTGTCATCATCGAGAAGGAAAGAAAATTAGGAGTATATAAAGTCTGTCTCGAAGTTGTAGAGTTACCTACCTGTTATGAATATGGATAATAAATTGTGTCCAGAACGTTATCCAGTAAATGCTACTGTTTCGCTGCGTGATATTTTTAATAAGCAGACTAAAATGGAATTACAATCGACCACAGTGCCCAAGTTTTACTCTTATATTAAGGGTTTCTGCATCTTAAATTCAATCCTCAAAGCCTAAATAAGAAGGCGAATTAGTTATCTGAGCGGTTGCCACAGCTGCCTTTACAATCATTCGTAAATGTGAGTTGAGGTAAGGAGAGGAAATGCCAATGTTAATGAGGTTGCGGCATTCAGTCTTATTCTCCTTTCAATAGGTGGTTAGAAGTTGTTCGGAAAGCATTGATTTGCCCGGTTGTATTTAGAGACAAATGCATGCACGTAATACTTATGTTGTTAGACTTATATTTCTCAGTTCTCAGAACGAATCCCTTGAAGCAAGCATATCAGTATGTTTGTAGTCATAACAAGTTGTGTGTTTGAAGCCAGCTAACCTGGAAATCAGGAGGTTACTGCTTACTGCAAACAGCTTTACGTTTCAATAACAAGCAGCCTATTAAAACTGCAGGTAACACCGTGAAACGCCACACCACTGGCACTACGATGTAATGGAAATGGTTGGTGACCGGAGAAATCCCAACTGTGCTTCAACGATT